ACCACTCACCACCTGCCAACCGATACCCAGCCTGACCTGAGCAGTGATGTAGCCCTTCCGGGTAACTCCCCCCAGTTTATATAGTGGACATGATGTGCTGTGGTATGGAATAACTCTTTGGCTAGTTTGGGTCGGGTGTCCTGTCCCCACCTCCTCCCAGCTTCCTCTCCTCCCTGGCAGAGCATGAGACTCAGAAGATCCTTGGTCAGACTAAACATTATTGAGCAGCAACTAAAAACATTGGTGTTATCAGCGCGGTTCTCAGGCTGAAAGTCAAAAACACAGCACTGCACCAGCTACTAAGAAGGAGAAAAATGGCTGCTACTGCTGAACCCATGGCACTCTATCACAGGAAGAGGAGTTGGTCTGACTCTGGCTGCTAACAGCAGCAGTCCCAGACTGTCCCAGCAGGCATCACACTTCAGCATGAGTCTCTTCAAGCTTTAGCTGCCCTAATGCACCAACCTTACTGCCTGTCCCCACTTCACTGCTGTTCAGCCAGGGAGCCGTAAGCACAGGACTGCATTTCTGGGATACCTGCAGACAGTTTTGTTTCAGAGCTGTTCCCTCTGATTGCCAGCAGTGCGTGTGCCATGCATGTCTCTACTCACACCCCTCTGCCTTTGCCCCATGCTCACTCACCTGCCCCATGCCACCCAAGAGGGTTGAAAATGAAAGCGGGTATTCGTATGGGAGGCCAGAGAGCAACTCAAAATGCTTGCCTGTTATTGTTATGTAGGCAGAGAAAGCGCATGGGAAATGCAACCAGTGAGAATGACTGCACAGACGGCGCCTCTGTTGTGTGGTTATCTCTTCCTGTCATCTCAAAAACTACATTTCAGAGGCACCAAAGGCAGAAACTGTCTAACAATATCACCCAAAACAAAGGCACACAAGGCATCAGAACCATGTTGAGATCAGTGCTGCTCAGAGCCAAGTGGGCAGAGCCAAACACCTTATTTCTCTGCTCTAGTCTTTGGCCTCTCCTTCCCTCCACATGTACTTCGACTGAACCAGCAACTTACAGCAGTGATGCATGTGCCAAGGTGGAGAGAGCAGGGCCTCCTGGCACCACAGGCTCTGAGCAGACGGGGCTCAATGCATGCCCAGCAAGACTTGGAGAAAGGGGACTCACCATCAGCTGTCCACTTCCCATGGCAGGAGACAGCAAAGAGGTGTATCCCTCTTCCATCCTTTCTGAGATGCGATCATGCCAAACTGCTGACAGCAGCAAAGCAACCTTGAGCAGTTCTTCCCAGGGCAGGCATGATGAAGAGAAACTGTGCTCTGAAGCCAAAGGGGGCACCTTGGCAGCCATACTGACGTGTATATAGGTGGAGTGCTGAGGTGTCACTCAAAGAGGAAAAATAAGCCAACCAGAGTGGGTATTTCATAGGACGGAAAGCTAGAATAGAAGTTAACACTGTAGCAGGGCAGCCTGGGGAAGTGTCACAGGAGGTGAGAACAAGGCAGCTGGTCCTGGGATTGAAAAAGAGGGGGAAGCAGGATCCAAGGCACCAAGGCATCCAGTGCATGCCCCCTGACCAAAGGGTAAATTGCAGCTCAGACGAATGCTTTCCAAGAAAGAGAAGCCACATCCCAGGACTGTGGACATAAAATACACAACTCAAAACCTGATTCTTGGTTGTCCAGCTTGTCTTAGGCAGCTGTTTCTGTGCCTCCCCATCCCATTGTACAGCCCTGTTGTCCAGTGTGCTACATGCACAGAGCCTGACCTATCTGCTGGCCAGCTCAGCTAGTACCTGCCCTCCTCCTCTACCCCAAACCCCAGCTGGGAAGCCCTGGACAGTAGATGGCAGATGCCCATACTGATCCTGACATGATGTAGCTCCTCATGTGCCTGCTCCTCTCTGCACCAGAAGCTCAAGGGGAGCAGCAGCCATGTCATGGTGCTCTGCCACAGGCTTTGGGAAGGCTCATTCATTTGGGTCCCTGCTGTTCTTGGGGAGAGAGCAGCTCCCTTTGCCAAGGAGGAAAACCTGAGGTGATGATGTCTTGAGGTCTGTCAGAACTTTAGGTCTGTCAGAATGGAGAAGGGAGCTGGGAGGGAACACAGTTCCAGCTGGGGTTTATTTCCGTATCAGAGCCTGACATTTTTTTTTGCAGAATAAGGATGAAACCTGTGTCTTTTCCCCATAGCATCATTCTGTCAGCATCCCAATAAAGACATTTGAACTAGCCAACGTTTCCTACTTGTCCTTTTACAGGCTCAGAGTTTTATTTTAGAAATTACATGATCTAGCTCCAGCACTGCCTGTGCCAGGAGTGAGAGAGCCTCCCCTGGACTGCCGAAGATCTGGCTGACATACAAGTAGGTCTCTTCTACTAGAAAGGCCAAGTTTGGGCAGCAAATGCTGCTGATGTCACATGGATTAAGACTGAGATGCAAGATTTGTATCTCATATACAACCAACCATTGCTCTTTTGGGTGCACATCTGGTGAGTGCTGCAGGACCACAGCATGACTACAGACCTGCTTGGGTCACTAGACTGCACAGAACAACACAAAGCGAAACTGAGCCCAGCTAGCACCCAGGCAACATCAACTACATCTCCCCAGTCAGAGAGGACAAGGCAGCATCCTTACAGAGCACGGCTCAGCATGTCAGCCCTGCCATCTCATCCCCTTTAAGAAGAATGAGGAAAAACACTTCACTTTGTGTGACTCACTGATAGATGCATCTATGAAAGAAGAACCAATAAAGGTTTCAATGAGTATCGCTACAGCCCATCACTTCCTCTTATTTCTTAGGTCATGCTGTCAGCTTGTTTTTCAGAACTAAAACATCCTCTACAGCATAAATCCCTGAGATTTGAATGCTCCATGACACACATTCAGAAGAATTGCTGACTTTTCAAGCAGGCACCAAGTAGAACTGGAGACTGTACAAGTATCGTCTGTTGCAGTGGATCATGCACAAACATGAGACATTGCAAAAATAATGGTGACTATCAAAAAACAGGTGTCAATCAAAAATAAGCATTGTTCTGAGAAGACTCCCATTCTGCAGGGTACTCTGTGCTCTTAGTATTTGCTTGTTTGCCTGATGGAGGACTGTGTTTGGTGCTAATCCACACAACAGGGCTAAATTAATCTCTCTCTACTTTGAGCCTCTTGGCACATAAAAGAGAAACATCTAACTGAAAAGAGACTAGTACCTCAGAGGAGACCTCACTGAGTTTGGCTGAGGCTGAGAGTGTTTCTCTCAGCCCATGGTTACAGCAGCCAGTTGGAGGGCAGTATTAAAATATGTACCTCCACACTTCACTCATGGCCACTGTTGTGGCCTCTGCCCTGCCCTGAAATCAGGGTGCCTGCTGGCAGACCTGCTCCCCAGGAAGGGGATCTGAGGGCAGCTTTTGGGTGTGTGCAGCCTTCACATACCTGAGACAACAGAGGTATCCCCAGTTCACATGGTGGTCTCAAGCCCAGTCTTGGGCACAGGTTTGGGCCCACTTTGTGACCAACAGTATGAAAGCTGCTTGCCTCCTGCTGCTGTCCTGGGCTCATCCTTAGCTTCAGGCTGCAGTTCCTTGCCAGAAGAGTGAGCACACTTCTCTGCTGGGCTGGAGTCACCCTGGCACCACCTCATGCAGGCGCTGGTGCTCCACTGCAAGGAGCTGCACCAAGTGTCACTCACCAGCACTAGCCCCAGGCTGGTAGGAAGTCCAGAAGTGTCTCTCAGAGGGTTGACAGAAGTTTACCAATCCTCAGCCAGGGTGAAGGAGCATCTCCAAGGCATTTCTGCAGCTCTGTTAAGCCTGGGACAGAGAACACTAAGCAGTGTCAGGGCATCACAGGAGGAGCCCATCCTCCTCCTCAGGTCCCAGTAACTCTCCCCTCTCTCCCAGGAAGGACCGGTTCTCCTGTAACCATATAACCACAGAGAATTCCCAGCTTATCTGCTTGCTCAGAAGAGGGCTGTGATAAAGCTCCAGCCACATAGGACAGTCAGAGCATGCTGCCACAGCAACCAGACGTGCACAGTAGCTGTACTCACCTGTGCCAGCCTGAGCTCATCAGCTGGGCATCAGTGTGAAAACTCCTGCATCCCTGTTTCCATGGCTAAGTGACCAACATGTTTTTCTTGCCTCCTTCGTACCAAAGTGATATCCAGATACTGAAGTACCAGCACAGGCGTGAACTGAGATCCTTTCCACCCACTCTTATCTTTATTAATTCTCTACAGGGATATAGCGTATGTTACAGAATAAACCATGAAGTGTTTGTCAGATGCAACTTTCAATAGCAAAAGACCTAAAACAAGCTGCAGAAAGCCAAGGTGATGCTCCCAGGGCTGTGTGTCTGACACGGGAGTTCAAGCAAAGTGACCGAGGTCTGGCAGAGGCAGAGACCTTGTGCCTGGTAAGTTACTTCTCTGCCCTTGTGCCAGAAGATAAAAATAGTCACATTCCTGGGAAGAAACAAAGGATGGCTGTTTTCTCTCCCCTGATATGTGTAGGATAGTCAAACCTAAAAGAGGTACTATACGTTCTGCCTAATGCAACATGCTGGGCGGATGTCTTGTGCTCTGTGGCTCTTGCAGCTCTCTCCTCCACTTGTGCTTCCCCTTACACCAGATAGGCCAGTGTACCCATTCAGACATTGCTCTCTTGTCTCCTTAGCTGTCCCAAAGAGGCAGTTGTGAACATCTCCAAGTACCAAAAGAGCAAGTAGTGTTTGTCCAGCACATGTAGAGTGATGCAGGTGCAGTTATTGCAGTCCAACCTCTTTCTCCCTTTGGGAGGGAGATCTCTCAGCAGTTCTCTATCATCACCTTGTTATATATGAGGTGCTTACCAGCAAAGGGTCCTGGTCCCTCACCATCAGCAGGAGGCCCTACAATGGAAATCCATTACAATTCAGACAACAGCACTAGTGATCAGACTGCTTGGAAGTCTGTAACACTTGTTTTATAAGCTAATGATTACCAGACTTGTTCCGTGGCAAAATAAATGTCTGGATAGCCAAACAGACCTATCCTGAGAATAAAGTTTAATTTTATTTGTAAGGAAGGAGTCACAGAAAACTTGAGCTGAAATATTCCTTGAAGAGGCCATCCAGCATGTTCCCCGGGCCTCAGCAGGATGAGAATGCTTAATCCGCTGTTTGAAACCCCCAGTGCTGGAAATCCTCTCCCAGAAATTTATTTCAGTGCTTCATTTGGAACAAAAAAACCCCAAACCAAACAAAAAACCACACATTACTTAACCTTCCCTGCAATTTAAGCCATGGTAGAGAAAGTGAAAAGTTTACTTCTTTCTCACTTGCATTTTTCCACAAACGGTTGTCCTTCAAAGCTCCCACATCTCCCTTCAGTATCTTCTTCTCTCTGATGACAGCAATTCTATCAGCTTCAGACAAGCATTTAATTACATACAATTATTTTTTAACCCAGGCAGTCATGCATTTGATCCTGAAGCCATGGCAGGAGAATGTGTGGCAGGAGAAACAAACGATACGTGACAAAACCCAGTAAGATCTTAGGCCCATATTGTCTCAGTAGGGCTTTAGCTTCTTCTTGGTATAATCCATCCAAGAGGCACGAAGACAACAAGGTACAGTAAAAACAAGTGAACCACAGAAAGATACGGGTTTCAAGGCTCAATGCTCTGTACCCTACCATGGAGAGACACCTTTGAAGAAAAATGTCCACAGGGATGAATGCCCATCACCTTGAATCTCCTCCACTGGGTCTCTTCATCTCCATTTGAGGCTCTCTCTAATTTTCTGCAACAAAAGCTGCCATTTCATAGCTGAGTGTTTCGCAAGGCTGGGAGGGAGGGATTCCTTACTGTTGGAAGCTTTCTTTTCCTAGTGCCCCGTGGAGCAGAGAGGCCACTGTCCCTCCCGGGGCAGACGTTCAAGGTCTCTCTCTGGGGTGGTTTGGAGTCCGCTGCTGAGTGCGGGGCCGGGGCCGTGGGGGCAGTGCTCGCTGCTGTACCTGGGGCTGCGGCAGCGGCCGCTGCTGCACACGCTGCTGCGTTGGGGTGGGATTACACGGCGCCTGCCAGAGCTCCCTCACCATCATCTCACTGTCCATGGAGCGCACCTGCGCCAAGTGCTCCTCTCCTGCAAGAGAGCACCCCGCAGTCAGGCACAGTCTGAGCAGAAGTGGGACAGAGCAAAAAGTACTGGGCCCAAGCAAGAAAAAGCCAATGTTGGTCTTACCTAAGACTGCTGTCACTCTCAGGTGTTCCTGCTACTCCAGTCAACAAGCAAAATCTCCTCTACTTTCACATCCCAGGCAAACCCAAAAGCTTTTTTTTTGGCTGCCTGGCTGAGGTCAAAGTACCTGGGGGCATTTGGGGCACCTCTCCCCTCTTTGTGCTGGGGGAACCCACCAGTCACCAGTGGACAGCCCCAGCCTGAGCTGCTCTGAACTATGTTGGAAACAGGACACTGAAAACAAAGTGAGATGCAATCACAGAAAGCAATCAGTATCAAAGCACTCTGCCCTGCCAGTAGCAGTACTGGAAGCCGGAGGCCCATTTTGACAGCACTGATTTCCCCATGTGCAGAAGTAAATTCATGCCAGATGACTCTTTGTCACTGCTTTATCATTTCTGTAACATCAGTCAGCTTAGTTTAGGGGTTGAGTCACTTGGGACACTGAAATGGCCTTAAGAACACACAAAACTGTTTCAAAGAGGCTAGTCACTCTCTTATATTACTTCTCATTTTCCCAGACTTATCTTTTTCTTCATTCTTGCTGAATCCAGACCCAAGAACTGAGGGCATGCTATCAATGTACAGTTGAAGAAGTAACATATCTCACTCAAATAAGAACAGCTATAATGCAGAGTAACACTCAAATGGCTATGCTCACACCATCATTGTGCTTGTGAGCTATGGCAAGCCGCCTGAGATGACATCCTGTGGTTGCAATGTAGTGAGCTCTCCCAGTGAATGGGGAAAGCTCTTGCCTATTCTTCATCATCATAATAACTTTGGGGAAAGCAGGAGGGTAATGGCAAGTTACCCACACTCAGATGTAGTGAGGTTGCACTCCCCTCAGCCACAGAACTGGTCATGGTCACCCTTCTTGTCAGCCTGGCCGGTGGGCACCTTTGAGACAGCAGCTGAGGTTTCTTTCAGGCATCTTGACAGAGGTGCCTGTTGTGTATAAAGGAGCTTTTACTCCAATTTTGTAACTCATGAACTGACTCACACAGAGAGTAACTGCTGTTTGAGACCACACAGGAAGCCTGATACAAAGTGTGGGGGCAGGACTCAAAACAAGCCTCTGAAAAAGCCCTGCCAGGGCAACCTCCCTCCTGCTTTAGCTTCCCAACCTAGAAGTGGGCCAGACAACTCTTCTTGTGTGGCAGCTTAGTGTTTTCTGTCCACCAAAACTAGCAGCAATGCCCAGGTTGTAAATTCAAGGCAAACTCTCTAAGACCAAGACCCCACTCTCAGAGAACACTGTCAGAGTATTTCCCACAGTCTTAAGGTGCCATGAATTTTGGGCAACATTTGAAATATCTGCCCACCCTGAAAACCTCAACTCTTTAAAGTGCCCCAGGTGGGGCCTCCAGTGTTGACAGGCCTCCAAGGACATTGTTCTGTAGAGAGAACAAGTTCTGTGAGATGCCTGAGGAAATTCAGAGCTGAGCTCTTCTTGCCCCTTTTCACTGTCTGCAGTATTTCCAAAAGTGACTAACGATTTCAAGGACCCTAATTTTGCACCATATAAATTTGTCAAAAATCTGCTGATGGGATACCTAACTGTATATTTTAGCCCCACAGATGCTCATTACCGGTGGCCTTAGCCAAGCTTTAGAGGAGCAGTTCTTTCACCATGACTAAAAACAGGGCTTGACAACAAGAAGTCTTTTGTTCAAAGCAGTGTATCAGAAAACAAGACTGGCAATGCCAGCGGATCTGCTGAGATTCACCATATGCCAAAACCCTGTTGTTGCTCATACCAAAGTAGAGCATACTCCTGCCCACAGGGCTCACTGTCAGCATGAAGCTCTAAGATTTTAGGTGGCTGGTTAACAACATAAAGCCTCTTAAACACTTACCATCAACTTCCAGCCTTTCTGCTTTCTTCCTCCTGATACAATAAATAAGTAAAATCATGAAGATGAGAAAGAAGACTGCACCTCCTGCTATGCTTAAGATGAGATAAAGGTCCAGCTGGCCTAGTTAAGGGAATGAAAGAGGATGTTAGAGAGAAAGAAATAACGTGCACAACATCTGCCTAGAATTCTCTCTTTTCTTCTGTCAACCATAAAGGCAGCCCCAGTGACAGAGCCCATCCTTTGCCTTTTCTCTGTAGACAGCATAAAGTTGCTGGTCCTCATTGTGGAAAATTTTGATTGCTCCCTGATGTATCTAAGTTTTGCAGAAAATTGAAACCATTCATGTGAGCCTGCTCATTTGATTTAAATTACCACAAATGCCGTGTTCCTGCTAGCAATGGATACTTCTAGGGACAACGAGCATGCAGGCAGTGCACAGCATCTAAAAAAACTAGACTTTCAAAGTACTTCCTACTGAGCTGGAAACACTGAGACTATCTCTCTTCAGGGTATGTTGCTACTTCCCCTGCAATTTTTGTCTGTAGGCAAATTTAAAAAAATAGTGAAAAGAACATAACCAAGTATCCCAGTCTCAAAATGAGAGTTCAGTTTGCCCAGTGAACAAAAATTCATGACATTTCCTTATTGTCACCAGTGAGGTTTGCTGAATGCTGGCTTTCCTCCACCATTTCCTGCTCGGGCTGTCCTTCTGACATCCAGTGCTCATGCTCGAGCATGTGTGCTGTGGAGTGAACCCATCAGAAGTGCATCTTCCTTGGGGGACAATGTTCCAAAGAGGACAGCACCACTGGTACCACTCTTAACATTCACTGGGTATGCATATGGAGGGCAGAGAGTGATGGCACAATTTAAGGAAAAGTTCTTTCCTGTGAGTGTGGTCAGACACTGGAACAGGTTGCCCAAGGAAGCTGTGAATGCTCCATCCTTGGCAGTATTCGAGGCCAGGTTGGACAGAATCTTGGGCAACATGATCTAGGGTGAACCATCCCCACCCATGGCAGGGAGGTTGGAACTGGATGATCTTGAAGGTCCTTTCCAACTCAAACCATTCAATGAATCTATGGTTATATGATTCTATGTCTACAGTATAAAGGCCACCGTCAGCCTGGGCTGCCCCAGTGGGAAAAAAAAAAAAAAAAAGACAAGTACCCTCACTAATGTGGTTGTTTTCACCTTTTTTAGCTACCAGTGTTACACAGAGGTGTATTTTGCCATTTCCGTGCCTGTTTCTCCCAGCTGACTTTAAGTTGAGCCCTGGCAGATTCACACATGGTTCATGCTTAAATGCAGTCAACTGAGCTGAAGCCCATCTGAAATATGCCTTCCTGCTAAAGGTCAAAATTCAAGGTGACAAGCCCTAAATGCAGGACCAGAAGTTCATGAAGGGCAGCAGGGCTGGAAAGAGGTTTAGTTTCAATCTGAGGGATTTGCAATCTAATCCTGGGACCACACAGAAATGTTCGAGGGGGTTTTGTTTGAGTAGGAAGGGTAGTACTACAGGTTTTCCTGTGGGTTTTTATTTTTTTTGTGTGTGTGTATGTGTGTCTTAGAAATGCTATATTTGCATGTTGAAGATCAGTGTGGCAAACCTTTAATTTCTCTGTTAATGATGTGAGAAAAAACAAGTTCTTCCACCCAACTCACCCGGTGAAGGAAGAGCATTTCTCAAGGGTGAGGAGAAGTGAAATCAAGTATTTAGGTGATGGCTAATGTCTGGCTATACTAGCAGTGTAGGCGGGCCCATGGTTGCCTGTCTTGTGCCCTGGGATGGCCAGCATTAGACAGCATTTCCTCATTAAGACAACATGTTTGGGCTAGTTTACCCAGGAGACCACCTCCAGTGGAAAACAGCATTGCAGTGCTCTCTGAGAGCCTCTCTGCCATCCACAAGGCTCTTGACTCCAGAAAAACCTCTATCCGTCTTCCAGTGAACACCAGGCCTCTCAGAGGGTGGGGAAAAACATCACTAGCAGTAGGAGAAGAGGAGCAGGGCTCACATCCCACTGCCCCCTGCTTGGGCTTTCTGCTGTTAAAGCAGGGATGCTGTAAGGGTAGCAGTGAGGTTGGCAGCAGCAGGGTGGACAAGGTGGAGATGCAACAGGGGCAGGGAATGTCAAGCAGGAAGCATGACTCACATCACTGTTACCACAGCAGTATCAGCTGCCAGTAACTGCAGCAGTGTTAAACTTGCGCTACTGGGTACCTGGAATCATCAATGCTCGTGACACCTGGACCAGTCCTACAGATACACACAACTGGGACACGCTTTGTGGGTCTACTTTAGCAGATTTTGGCAAAACCAGAGTTTTTACCTGAGCACTTAGTTACTTTTTCAACCATTTTTTCACTGACTTGGTTCTTAACAACACATCTGAACATCCCAGAATGCCGCGTGTGCAATTCCAAACTTGTTGCATTCTTTTGTATCTTCTTGCTTTTATCTTGAGTCAGTTCTATTATAAACGTTTCATCTTTAGCCTTCTGCTTCACTTCACACTTGACAAATACAGTTTTGTTCATGCATTCAGCACTGAGGACTGGCTGAGGGACAGGCCCTGAAAAAGAAGAGAAGGCACAGGCACATCTGAGATGGTTTTCCTTTTGAAAACCTCCGTTATTGAGCAGAATAGAGTATTAGCACCCAATAAGCAGCAAGTAACACCAGCTAATGAGACTGGAGAAGAATATAGAGCAAATCGGACCTCTGCTAGAGAAGTAACATGGCCATAATAAAGACAATACAGTTTATTAGCCTGCATATTTTAGCCTGGCAAAGCAGAGCTGTGACACCATGGCTGGACTACTTTCAGGCTGAGCATGGCCCACAGTCAGCAAGGCAGACAGGGGAAGGAAGGAAGTTGTGTTTTCAGGGGAGGCAGTGGACGGTAGGGACTCAGAGCCACAGCCCCCTCCAACACGCCAATGTTTTGATGCATATGATGTTGGTTCTAATCTGCCTGTGGCCATCAGGAGAGAATTCTTCTAAGGCAGGACTAAAAACTTCTTGTGATGGTTATGTACTATCAACAGCACCCAACTAGCACAACAGCAACAATATGAAACCCCATCAAAACAGAACAGAAAACACAAAACACAGACACTTCTTAGCTCTCAATGAGGCTATGACAGAAATAACTGATTTCTGTCTCTTTTTACATCCCACAAACAGCTAACTACATTTTGGTTCCAGATTCTCTATCACTGGTGGTACTGAAAGAGGCAGAAAAGCAAACTGGCAGGGATATCAAATGGAAAAAAGTTAATTTCTACATTTTAGACCAGGTAAACAAATCCATGCCACGGTCACCTCTAGTTACAGGCAGTACAAGTTATTGAGATCAAACATTTTAAAGCCAATAAGGGCTATTAGGTTTGTATCAAAGTATAATCTGACTGACAAATAGCTCTAGCACCCAACAGTTACTAAAAGATTTCTAAAGCTGGGTGTTGGAGGTAAGGAAACCTCTCTACTGCACAGCAGATGAAAATGATGAAATGATGCAGCACATACCTGAGTTGGAACCTTAACCTGAAACTGAACCCAGGACACCCCAATGACAGCTCAGTGGCTTAAAGCATGAGTTGAATCTCCTTCTTTGGAGACATTCAAAACCCGCCTGGACACGTTCCTGTGTAACCTTATCTAGGTGTTCCTGCTCCGGCAGGGGGATTGGACTAGATGATCTTTTGAGGTCCCTTCCAATCTCTAACATACTGTGATACTGTGATACTGTGATGAGTAAATATCATGAGGCCCTGATGACTTCCTGAATCTGTAGGCCACCTGCAATAGTAATTCCCAAAGCAGTGAGACACTCTCGCTGCTCAGCAGTCCATTAGCCACAGATCTCAGCACTGCAGAAACCCTGCTAAAACTATTCCAGATGTTGTTGTTGCCTTACCAAGGCAACACTTCCAGAGTGCCAGCTGTTGCCCACAAACTCTAGAGGTTGGCAGAGGTGTGCACCCTGGCTGAAGAAGGAAGAGCAAAATCATTCTATTGCTGGGAAAAAGAACCAAACCATGATGCCCTACAGTTTAGAGGTCTGGAAATGTGACAGCATCCATAAGAGAGCAGAATAGCCATCCCACCTTTTTTACTCATCCCAAAAGCCTTGGACTGCTACCATTCTATTACTCAGGACAAGATACAGCACAGGATTGGAGGACGCCTTCATGCTTGGAGCCCACATAGCTGAAATCCTCAGGCAGGTGCTTAAGTGTGCTTCAGACAGAGCAATCTTTATATTTGTGGTGTTATGTTATGCAAGGATAGGGTACAGAAGTCTTCTGTCTCTGGAAATTCAACTATTGTGCTGTTTGTCAGAGGAAGTGATTGCTGGCTATTTTTTATGTTAGAGCAAAAATTCTGTGGGATTGCATTGCATAAATACAGGTATTTAGTGCCACCTGAGCTCCTGAGCTCTTCTCAGGAACTGTCAGATGCAGTGCAAGGTGCTCACCTACCTGGAGCACTGGCTGGACACCAAGAGTCATAGCTTAGTACCCATCAAATAACACCAGAAATACTTGCTGTGCTCCCACAAGAGGTTTCTGGAAGCAGGGTGCTGCTGGGAGCACAGCCCCACCTGCATGGTGATATCCCACCTCAGGCCCCTTTGAGGTACTGCTTGAGATGCTGTAATGGGATTGACCACACTCACCCTTGATGTGCTCATGGTTGCTTGCTTGGGCACGTGTGAAAACATGGTGGCCAACAAGGAGGGGAGCCAGAAAGAAGAAGGGGACCAGAGGACATCGACAGAAGCAAGGAAAGGAGGAAGAGATGATGAGCGAGTTGAGAGTCTGTGGGTGAGAATTAAGGGGCAGGCTGGCAGGGGCGATACTGTTGTGGGGGTCTGTTACAGGCCACCGGATCAAGGTGAGGAAGTTGACGAGGCCTTCTACAGGCAGCTGAGAGTGGCCTCACAGTCACAGGCCGTGGTCGTCGTGGGGGATTATAACTTCTCTGATGTTTGCTGGAAGGACTACTCGGCAACCCAGCCGCAGTCCAGGAGGTTCCTCCAGTGTATGGATGATAACTTCCTCATGCAAATGGTGGATGAGCCAATCAGGAGAGGAGCGCTGCTGGATCTCATCCTCACTAACAAGGAGGGTCTGATCGAAGCAGTGAAGGTTGAGGGCTGCCTTGATTGCAGTGACCACGAGATGGTGGAATTCAGGATCTTGTGTGGTAGGACCAGTAGAATAGCAAGTAGAATTGCAACCCTGGATTTTAGCAGGGCGAACTTTGGCCTCTTCAAGCAATTGCTAGGGGAAATCCCATGGGCAAGGCTGCTTGAAGGTAAAGGGGCCCAAGATAGTTGGTTGACGTTCAAGGACTGCTTTTTTCCGAGCTCAAGGTCAGAGCATCCCGACACATAGGAAGTCAAGGAAGAGGGTCAGGAGACCTGCGTGGCTAAATAGGGAATTACTGGGTATGCTAAAGTGGAAGAGGAGAGTTTTCAGGTCATGGAAAGAGGGGCTGGCCACTTGGGAGGAATATAAGGCTGCTGCTAGGGGATGTAGGAAGGCTGCTGCTAGGGGAAGTAGGAAGGCAGCTAGGATGACTAAGGCCTCCTTGGAATTAAAGCTGGCGAGAGGGGTCAAGGACAGCAGAAAGAGCTTTTTCAAATACATGGCAGGTAAAACTAACACCAGAGACAATGTAGACCCACAGATGAACGGGACGGGTGCCCTGGTGACAGAAGATACAGAGATGGCAGAGTTACTGAATGCCTTCTTTGTCTCTGTCTACTCTGCCAGAGGCAGTCCTGAAGAGCCCTGTACCGCTGAGACCTCAGATGAAGTCAGGTCAACGGAGTGGTCTGCCTTAGTCAATGAGGAATGGGTTAGAGACCAGTTGAGCAATCTGGACATCCATAAATCCATGGGTCCAGATGGGATGCACCCACGGGTGCTGAGGGAACTGGCTGAGGTCATTGCTAGACCACTCTCCATCATCTTTACCAAGTTTTGGGAAATGGGAGAGGTGCCTGAGGACTGGAGGAAAGCAAATGTCACTCCTGTCTTCAAAAAGGGCAAGAAGGAGGACCCGGGTAACTATAGACCAGTCAGCCTCACCTCCATCCCTGGGAAAGTGACGGAATACCTTATCCTTGGTGCCATCTTAAGGCATATCAAGGATAAGAGGGTTGTGAGGGGCAATCAACATGGCTTCACCAAGGGGAAGTCATGCTTGACCAATCTCGTAGCCTTTTATGGGGAAATAACACGGTGGATGGATGATGGCAGAGCGGTGGATGTGGTCTACCTTGACTTCAGCAAAGCGTTTGACACGGTCTCCCACAGCACCCTCACGGCTAAATTGAGGAAGTGTGGTCTGGATGATCGGGTAGTGAGGTGGACTGTGAACTGGCTGAAGGAGAGAAGCCAGAGAGTTGTAGTCTATGGGGCGGAGTCTAGTTGGAGGCCTGTATCTAGTGGAGTGCCTCAAGGGTCGGTACTGGGACCAGTATTATTTAATATATTCATCAATGATTTAGATGAGGGAATTGAGTGTACTATCAGCAAGTTTGCTGATGACACTAAGCTGGGAGGAGTGGCCGACACGCCAGAAGGCTGTGCTGCCATCCAGCGAGACCTGGACAGGCTGGAGAGTTGGGCAGGGAATAACTTGATGAAATATAACAAGGGAAAGTGTAGAGTCCTGCATCTGGGCAGGAACAACCCCAGGTTCCAGTATAGGTTGGGGAACGACCTGTTAGAGAGCAGTGTAGGGGAGAGGGACCTGGGGGTCCTGGTGGACGACAGGGTGACCATGAGCCGACACTGTGCCCTTGTGGCCAAGAAGGCCAATGGCATCCTGGGGTGTATTAGAAGGGGGGTGGTTAGTAGGTCGAGAGAGGTCCTCCTTCCCCTCTACTCTGCCCTGGTGAGACCTCATCTGGAATATTGTGTCCAGTTCTGGGCCCCTCAGTTTAAGAAGGACAGGGACCTGCTGGAGAGAGTCCAGCGCAGGGCAACTAAGATGATTAAGGGAGTGGAGCATCTCCCTTACGAGGAAAGTCTGAGGGAGCTGCGTCTCTATAGTTTGGAGGAGATTGAGGGGTGGCCTTATTAGTGTATATAAATATATAAAGGGGAGTGTCACGAGGATGGAGCCAGGCTCTTCTCAGTGGCAAACAATGATAGGACAAGGGGCAATGGGTACAAACTGGAACACAAGAGGTTCCACTTAAACTTGAGAAGAAACTTCTTCTCAGTGAGGGTGACAGAGCACTGGAACAGGCTGCCCAGGGAGGTTGTGGAGTCTCCTTCTCTGGAGACATTCAAAACCCACCTGGACGCATTCCTGTGTAACCTTATCTATCTGCTCCGGCAGGGGGATTGGACTAGATGATCTTTTGAGGTCCCTTCCAATCTCTAACATACTGTGATACTGTGATACTGTGAAGAGATCCAGATTGCTGTCAGTGGCAGGAGGAAGGAGGTGAATCTCCCAGAAGTCCCCTCCCCTCACAAAAAAGCAGAAAGGGTGACAATGAACAGGAAAGGCTGTAGAAGAGAGAGGAAATACCAAGTCTTATTTAGCTATGATAAGAATTGTATATGAAGAGCAAAAACTCACCCTGAACGATGAACACTGTATGTTCTTCTGCCTTCTGTTTTCCGTCCTGCCCGTAAACAGTCACCGTGTAATTTCCACTGTCCTCTTTCACTGCCTGCTCTATCTGCAGAGTCCCATTTAGGAATATCTTGCACCTGCACTGCTCCTTTTTGACATAGTACTTAACTTTCCTGTCTTTTATCTGAAGCAATCTTTTTCTGTCTTTCATCCATGTTGCATCATATACACTCCCAGCAGCAGTGATGCTGAGAAGAGCCGACTCATTCACTGCCACATAAAACCAGTTGGTGACAGAGCCTGTAAAGGGAAGCACAACCAGCCTGCCAACGTGTCTCCAGCAGCATTCACTCTAGTGCTTGGCAGCCACAGTGGTGACCCGAAAGGTCTTCATTTGGTACCCAGCCTCCACACACACATCTCGAGTTGCCTCAGCCTCTTTGCATTACTGATGCTGTCTTCTTCCCCTGGTCTAAAGCACCTCTTGATCATTCATTAGATATATGTCAGCGCACAATTTAACTGATAGCCAATGAAACTGAGTCCAGCTTTCAAAAGCTGGCCTTATACTCTGGCTGACTTATTTGGCATGATTTTGGATGGTAAAATTAATGGCTGCCCGTGAACTTAACCCCATCCTTAACTCTTCCTGAAAATAAGGTTATTTTGGTTTTGCACATGGCACAGGCTGGTACTCATAGAGTACCCATCACTGCAAACGTTACTGTGGACAGCAAGAAGACAAACTAGTAAGGGCCATGGACATTAGGATCAGTTCAGCAATGACAGTGATGATGATAATAATAATCATAATCATAGCCCTTGCCAATCAGTGAGTGAGTGTAAGGCACAGAACCAAAGTCAGACACAATACTGCCAGGTTGCAGTGCCCCCGCTTCACCTATCATGGGCACACTGCCCCAGTGGAATATTTCTACTCGATTTTTCTAGCACAGAATCACAATGTGGCAAGTAAGGCATGTAGAAACAGACAGCTAACCATATCCTGTGAACTGATCAGGCACTGCAGACATTAGGAGAGAAGTAAAGGACAAATAAATCTTTTCTCTTTGCAGATGTCCTTTGATGATAGGTCACTTCCTCAGCACAGGTAAGAGTAGGTGCTTCCCAAAAGTGCTACTGGGCAGCACCTGGCATGCGGCTGCTGAAGGGATACTCAGGAAAGCCAAGGCTGCCAAACATCATGTTACTACCCATGGAGATGATGTACTCTTGGGGCTGTGCCTGGGTGGCCTGCCCTCTCCCCTCCAGGCTCCTTCTCAGCCTTTGCAAGGCCCATCTCCAGTGAGCCCGTTCTTTTGGAGTACGAAGTTTGCTGGGAGGGCGCTTGAAGGAACTGTCTCCATGCCTCCTTTGCAGGAGGATATAAAGGAGTGTTCACAAGTGTTGGGTCCGATAAACTCACTGACAACCGAATAGGCGCTCAGAGACACTGCTTATTTCGTTTGTCATTTTCTTATGTTCATTTCTCTTTTTACAGGATAAAGCCAGTCTGCACAAGGGATTTCCCTCCATATCACCAGATAAAGCTGATTCTGCTCTAATTTTATGTATTTTAAGCACTTTCGTCCCCCCATAGAGAAACTATGTTTATGGATATTTTTGTTACAGTCCTTCATTCATGGTATCTAGGACAATGCTAAACTATGTCACAGAGAGGAAACTAAAACCCAGTTGCCATTTCATGAAATCAACAATACTACAGATAATCAAAGAACTAAAACAGTGCATCTCTGCAACAAAAACATTAATACTGCAGTGCTTCCATCAATTGACCCCCATCTAAGGGAGGGGCTGTTATTTCACCATGGCATTTTTTACAAAGTATTTGAAGCACCTAATGAAAGGTTCTGAAATAAAGCTATCAACCAGCCTTGGAAGCAGCTATCCTCTACACAGATGTCACTGCAAATTACACCCAAATGTATGAATTATGATACTTCTTTCCGCTCAGTCATGCACTGGCATTCAGAGCTAGTAATAGGACTTCTTTGAATAACAGATACTATTACTGATTCTTTCTGGAAGTACAGAAAAAGAGTTTTCAAGGATAATTTAATGGCATCTCTATGGATAGACCACCTGGACGTATCTGGCCATTTATCTGATCTCCATAGTCTTGCTAATAGAAAGCTGATTATTCCACACATATGATACTAGAAATCTCTTTAGCTAAAGTAACAGCATTTCTGCTAATGCCAACTGAAATGTGCTCCAAGGGGCAGAAAGACCCAACTGTCAGCTCACTTGCAGTCACAAGAAAGAGTTAAAATGAAAAGCTCCTGTAGTAACTTTAGAGAACTAAAGAAGTATTTGAAAAGAGTTTTCCATTCAAGAAAATAATCATAATGTCTGCTGGGGAAGATGTTTCATATATCACAATCCAAACAAACAAAAATATTTAACTATTAATTTTGTTCTGGGAGAAGAGCATTGAACAGCCATACATGCAATCTGTAGTGGAATGAACAGAAAAAAACAACATCCATGTATGATTGTATTGTCCCCATCCCTTCTACATTTCTCTAATCTATGAGTTAACACCTTAATTAAGTTTTTAGATTAATACTTTTAAAAATGAGAGCAATAAAATGCAAAATATAAAAGATATATTTATTTGCTTTCTGTTTTCACATCTTAGACTTCTTCAGCTCCACTGAAGACACTGAGATATATCACTTTCTGTTAATATTTATGGAAGAATATAATTTGCACTTTCAAAAGATTCTCATCTTTGATAAGAAAAGGAAATTACATGCGATAATGCACAGTGAACTGGCTCTCTAATATAGTACAAGCTACCTCGAGGGCAGAGAGAAAACTACACGATGACATTTCTCGTTATACATGTGTCAAATTAAGACTCATTAACTTAAAACCAAAACTGTTTAGAGCTTATTATTATAACTGGAAGAGGAAACTCAGATCCTGCCCTCCCCCAGCTGAAAATTAAATCAAATAATAACCCAAAGGTCTTCACTCACTGAGAAAGTGGAACTGTTTTCTTATCACTAACATCCCACCATTGTAAATGGTTTAAATTGCAAGTTTAACAATGCCAGCCTGAAAATGCAAAAAGAAAGGGTAAGAAAAACTCACATTTTACACTCGGAAACAAAAGCAGCAGGCTCTTGATTAGAAAAATTCTCATAAAGTTCATTTTCAGGTCAGAAAAAATCCAATGGCCCCTTGTCTAATGATAGCTCCTGGAAGGTGTAAGGATTTTCTGCTGTGAGCAGGCAGTGGTGGGACGTGTCGGCACAGCCCTCGTGCCCTCCTCCCCTCCTCCCTCTCTCACCGCAGCACTTCTCATTCCAGCACAGGCACAAAAACCACGGGCAGAAGCACCTCTCAACGCAGCATTTTATCAGGATGCGGACAACATGTAGCGACAAGGAAAATGCACACTAAAATACAGAACACCCCTGAAACCCATTTACCCAGCTAGAGGCCCTCATCCTCTTCAGTGTTCACCCAAAGAGTTTAACTTCAGCACCTACATCCATCCTACTGGGATGGATTCATTTTTGTGGTAAGGGTGAAGGGAATCCTTCTGCTCCCCCATAGCCTTAGCAGCAGCAAGGGGACAGCAAGCCCAGGTCCCCCAGCGGGGAGCAGGTAGCCATTGGCTGTTGGACAATGTGTAGAAAGGAGATACACTTCCCTTGGAAACCATCGGGATCAGCTTCACATCAATGTGTGATCTATGAAAGGCTGGCTAGTGCCACAGAAAGGTGCCCAGTGCCACAGAAAGGTGCCCTGCAGAGACAGTTGAGCAAGCTGAGAAATCAGGGGCCAAAAACACTGCCTTGTGTCTGGGCAGAAACCATCCCTGAAGCTGGTTGATGTGGGAAAGATGTTCATAAAAGAAGCTGGGACAAGGCATGGGAGTTAGCTCTAAAAACACGTGAGAAGCTTATAAAATCTTTATTCCTGATTCCAATATCAAACAGATGCGGTGGTGAGGATTTGGAATCATATCATCCCAGCACAAATCCTCTGCTACAGTGGCCACTGAAATCTTCCAACATTTTGTCACTGTTGTAGATCAAGAAAGACAACAGCAAAAAAAACAAAACTGTGTCACCCGAGATGTGCAATATTAGATGAACATTTTTCATTCATTCATGTCATTATTCTTCCTTGAAGTTATAAGAAGACCTGGTAAGACAACTCCCCTTCTCTGGCTTTATCATCTTTTAACTGGTACTAATGCTGGTAAAAACTACCCCTTTTGGCATAAAAGGAGAAAAAGTTACCTGAGGTGAAACATGCTGTGGTCACAGTATTGGTTCCTCTGCACAGCACAAGAAAACCTAGCTTTTCTTCCTTCTTTTTGTTATTGTTTCCTTACAAAGAACACACAAGAGAGGCACACACAAAAAGAGAGAGGAAGCAGCAGCAGCAAGATAACATTTGTGTGTCCAACCTCACTTTGTGGAGAAGAGCGAGCTGAGGGCAGAGGCTACTGTGCCCCGGCATCTCTCCAGTCAAGCACACTGTGCCAGCAGCACCAGCCCCAGGGGGTTTTGGGGACTCTTACCCCAGCCCCACTGGCAAGGACATGCAAGGTCTGCACACTTGGACACATCAGCTTCCAGCCCCAGCCTCAGTGCCTACAGGGCTTTGGGCAAAGGCATCAACCCCAATTTCTCCTGCTGGGTCCATGAAGCAGAGAGGAGGGGGAGGTCCCTGACACACTGAAACCACTCCCCACACTCTGCTTATCCTTGTCTTGGTTATTTCTCAAGGCAAAATCCCTCAAAGCCACCGCCTGCTTAGAGCATACCTCTGCACTTTGTCAGATTGCCAACACACAGGGGCAGGGACTATCATTCTGCTCCATACACACACTGAGCCTGCTTGGTGCTGTCCTGCTCGCTAAATGCTGCAGAGCCTCAGGCAGAAATGGGGATTGGTACAAATGAAGTACAAATGGAAAGACATGTATGTGTGGGAAGGTGAGTCAAAGATTATAGCAGCAGAACAAGGCTTACAAAGGATGCCCTGTACTAGTAAGGGCACTACTTCTAGTTAATCAAACCTCCCATGCAGAGATGCCCATGCATTTGTAAAAGCACAGCTGAAATGACTCAGACTGGAAGCCCCTATGCTGCAGCTGACCAGTTATATAGCACATCAAGCATGACATCTGTTTTTCCTCTTAGAGGAACAGGTAAACAGGAAAAGAAACCACACTTAAAGGACATAAAAACTCTGTTCAAAAATGAGTTTGCTGTGAACAGTGAAGAGGCCCTCGAGAGAGGTGGTGAGGACGCCGTAGTTGATGTCCCCTGTCCACTGTTCAGCACAAATGTCAGCCCAACCCTTTGAGTACTTGGAGTGTGTGCACAAAATCAACTTGCTTAGAGATTTTGTGTAACCAAAGCACAGCTGATCCAGCAAAGGGGCACATCACACACCTGTAGCAAGGATTCCACATGAGAACCTGGTGTGTGCATGGTCCATTCCACCAAATGGCCCCTTTCTCAACCAGCATCAGAAAAGTCCTGCACCATCACACCCAGCTGGACAAGGAGAAAGCAACCCATGTCTCTAACCTCAGCCTTCCTGCCAGATGAGAAGTGGAGAAATGGCAATAACCTTTCAGCTTTACTCTCCGTCTCTTGACGAGCAAGACAATGTTGTGTTGTAGTCTTGGCTACCCAGTTTAGAAGGAAGGGATTTTCTCCATGTTCCTGAGAGGAAGCACTGGAAGTTCCTGCACTGATGTCTCCAGTTTCCTACAAGTAAGGCATTAAGGACAGGGTATCTGACAGTACCTCTGGGAATCACAGCAGCTTTGGCCTACTGCCACAGAAGAGCTCTGAAGGCCAGCATGTACCTTCGACGGTATGGCATGGGACACATGTCATGAAAACAGCTACAGCAGAGAACACTGGTAAGGCAGCCCCACACTGACTGGCAATGCCCCCCAAGGATATAGCAAGAGCTATTGCTGATAGCTGTATCTTGCCACAGCCCAAACACCAACCCCCAGCTGGGCAGGATGAGGTGAGATCTGCCAGGCCTGCAGATAACTATGCCCTCATGCTCTCCTGCTTGCTGCAGACACTCTCTCTCATACCCATTACACAGGAAGTAACACTTCTGGGCTAAACATAAGCCAGGTAGAAAAATAGGGCACCAATAGAAAAGTAAATGTCTCCCAATATGGTGGTGCTGGACCTGTCTTCAGTTAGGCCTGTGACGCTTAAGGCTCTTTCATTTAGGCTAAGGCTGCTTGGCCCATCAGATTGCTAGACATCTTTATCTTATGACAGACATCAAAGCAGAGGAGTGAAGTGCAGCTGTGACAATGGGCTGTGTCTTTGCAGTCATCACTATCTCTGTGGTATTGTTTCCACTGCAAAAGCCACAAAGTACTGTAGTCATATGCATTTGCTTTTGTTGCTTGCTCTCATTTACTCTTCCGTTCACTGTGCTACACTAAGATGTTTCCTCACAGGGAACGTAAGTATCATACTTACATTTACATGTAAAGGTGGCAGACTCCCACACACCTGAAGAAAACATCTCAAGAGACAATATATAGATGTTTCCAACTCTAAGTCTTCAATGATGAGCCAATAAACATTCATGCCTGAGGCTTATTTTTTTTTTTATTAAAATAAATAAATTTTAAAAAGAGATATAATTTTATTAGATCTACTAAAGTAGAAGTGTACTTTTACTCTTATGAAGGAAGAGTACAAGTACACTTAGCATGTTCCCAGGAAAGTCAGGGCGCAATAAGCCAGGGTAGGTTTGTAGTCCACCTGCTAGCTTGCACCATCTCCTCTGGTTTGAAGTTTAGGTCGTATTAAGTGGTATTTGCATGCAATACCCTTCCCTGGGAAAAGTCAGACAACCTTCACCCACCACCACTCCAGGACCCTCACCATGAAAAATGACAAGAACACTGCAAATTCCTATCTCTCAACTTCTCACAATGACAGGCTCAGTTTGTGAGGAGAAGAGCGAATGTGATATTGATTGAAACACCAGATGAACAATATCATGTGCAGAGGAAACTTTGGCTAAGGATAACATTATTCTTGGGAGCATTCCTGGGTCTGCACCCTAGCCTAGGCTCCATCTGGGCTGCCCTGGATGGTAACTGCAGGTTTTGTGATGGCACATTCCCTTCCCCTCTACTGTAGCTTTTTGGAGGACAGGGGGAATGTGGGCAGTGGCTGGAGTGGGGAAGAAGCAAAGTCAGCTCTGGCAGTGGGAGTTGCCCCTGCACTGTGAAATGCCAAGGAACTCCTGGCTTTCACACACAGTTTCAGCTATTTGGCTGATGAAGGCCACATACCACCTCCACTTCTGCCTTATGCAAAGCCAAGAAAGGAAGAAATTCAGCTTAAATGAAGCACTACAAATATGAAAACTAAGAACTCAAAAAGAAAGCTTTGCCCAAGCGTTTAGTGGGGATGCTGACTTGGCAGCTTAGAGCCTGTTACATGCAAACTGAAAGCACAGTTTTGCCTATATGCCGTGGAAATATTCCAAAAATAGTGAGACACCCTGTCAGTAATGCAATGGCTGCTGCTGCAGCTTTTATATCCTTCTCTAAAAATGGTAAATGGAAGCTTAAAAACTGTGACTAGTGCAGAATAGCTCTCAGATGACAATTCAAAGAGAAATTGTTCCCTTGTGATGTCTATAACAACGTATCATCAGCCCCAGGTATTCTCTCTCTCAAACTTGTTTTCTTCTTTTCCACCTGTAACCATGAGTCAACAGCCAAACCTCATGAAAAAGCACCCAGTTTAAGTTTTCAGTATGGTCTGAAGGAATGTAACCTCCTTAGACAGAACAGTCTGACAATATATGGTTCAAAATGACTGAGGCTACAGCAGCTGTCAGCATCCCATCAGACAGTTATTCCTGTAGATGATGCATTTCTGTCTTGCTTATCTGACATTGATTTCCATCATCTATAATGATCCTAGATCTAGAATGTAACTTTCAGAATCTTATTGTAGTAATTTCAGTGATATTACTACTACTGCATAACATGCTGCAGTCCAAGCAAAAGTTTGCTGTCATGATGCAATTAATCTGTCTTACACATGAAGCCAGACAGATGAACAGAAGAGCCTCTTCTAGTTTTAGCAGTGATAAATACACAGAGACCTGTATTAGCTACAGTATGACCCTTCATCACCAGAGAGTGGATGGACTAGCTACCCAAGGAAGGTAACAGCTTCTCTTTGAAATTTATCCAGGAAAGATAACTT